TCTCCTGATGGTGGTTCCCACCCGGCCCTGCATCCCAGCAGCAGCCAATCTGATCCAGCAGTAAGTCAGGTGCAGACCCAGCCTCGGTGGCCCCTGCTCTAGGCCAAACCACTCACGTGGGTTCGGAAACATTGGTGGAAGTAATTAAGGTTCCACAGGTGCTTACTGTAGTTTACTTAACTGTCAGCTGATAATTAAAACTTTATGGAACTGGGGGAAATCTGGCTGCTGAGTGATGGATTCCTCTGAGCCTCCTCCTCCCCAAACTTCCCTGAGCCTGCTGGGGTTCAGGGTCAGCCTGTCTGGGAACAGGCAGTGCCAGGACCTGAAATGCATGTCCTGCTGGCTCAGACCTGTGTCCTTGTCACTGTACCACTGGTCAGTTTTGTCCCCGCACCTCAGTCTCTGGGTTGGCAAGTTCTCAACCCCCACACAGCTGTCCTCTGTACAGACATCAGACCTTCTGTGCCCAGGGCTCCTGGGCGCTTCCTTCTCTGGAGTAGTCGCCCCTTCTCCACTGGCATCTCTTAATCACCTTTCTCTTTTGCAGTAGATGTGGCCACCCAGATCGCCCCACGCCTCTGTCTGCAAAATTGCAGAACTTGCTGGGCGCTTCCGTAAACTAGCAGCTGGGCAGTCTGTGTGTCTGCGGTGCATAGGTACATCTCAAGGCGCTGTATCGTAGTGGGGAGGAGAAAATTGGAGCCAAGTGTGGCAAATGAAATAACACGAAGCTGGGTGCGGCGGCACACATCCATAAACCCAGAATTTATGGGGGGAGGAGGATCGAAGTTCAAGTCCCACCTGGGTCACTTGGTGAGAACTTGTCTCAAAAACAGAGGGCGGAGGTGGGGATGTAGAACACTCCTGCTCTGAATCCCCACTGGAACGGATGGGTGGATAGAGAGAGTGAAGAATATACAGTGTCATGCCTCGCACCTGTAAACGTCCCATAGCATTTGTGTGCGTGTGCACCTGCATGTCACGTGTATTTGATGGTCGGCTCTTAGCCCTAAGACTCTTGCCCTGGGTGGCATACTCTGTGGTCTTGAATAAGAGCCACAGGTTTGTAGAAGTAAATGCCACCCTAGCCTGTAGATGCCCTAGTGCATGCTGGGTGGATGCTACTGATTGTGGTGACAGTGAGCTGTTTTGGGGGGACTTTCGCATCGCTTCTGAGCCTGAGGGGTGCTCACATCTTCCCTGGCTGTTCCATTAGCAGGGAAAGGTTTGGAGCGGCAGCCCAGGATAACATGCGCATCTGCCCACCCCACAAGCCTCAGTAGCACCCTAGGCCAACAGCAGCTCTGCCTGGCCTCCCTCCACCCCTGCCTCACACACACCCCACTGTCACCTCGGAGTAGGGCCGGGAGGTGCCTGGCCTGGTGCGCAGTGGAGGAGAAACATGTGCTCTGCTGGCGAGGCCTAGACGGGACCTCAGCATTTGCACAGAGGTCCAGAGGCTGGAGTGCCCTGCACGCTTCCCCCACTGGGACACACCAGGGAGAAGGGGGACATTCATTCGGGGCATCTCCACCTAGCAGTGAAACAAATCGTTACCTTTTAGGTTATTGTCACCATCACCACAGAGTAGTGTGCGCCTCAGACACCTTCGCCCGCCCCTGGTCCTCACCCTCCTGGAGATGGTGAGACAGGAGCAAAACTTTTACTTAGAAGGTGTGGGGCAGGTGGGGGTCAGGAGTGGGTGAAGGTGAGAGCTGGGATGAATTGTTTTTCATTTTTCAGTGCTGGGCCTGGGGTATTTGCATTGAACTCCGTCCCTGGCCCTTTTTAAAAAATTTATTTTTAGGCAGGTCTTGCTAAGTCACTGTTGCCCAGCTCGCCTTAACCTCTTGTGGCCCTCCTGCCTCAGCCTCCCAGAGTGCTTGGATTACAGGCCTGGGCTACCATGCCCAGCTAAAGTGTGGTGAAATCTTTTGCAAATGAAATTTACTCATAATTTTAAATTAAAAATGTAAAAATGTTGCCTCGGGGGAGTCAGCAGTAAGAATATCAAATCCACTCCCTAACAAAGTGTTTGCAGCCTCTTGAACCTGAGGCTTGTCCTTTGAATGCTTATAAATCCTCATCCTGGGGCTGCACTGTCCCCCACAATGTATCAGTCACCCGGGAATGTAGAGGACAGCCGGCCTCTCCAGGCGCCCGCCCAGCCACCACCACCGTGGAAGCTGGGCCCGGGAGAAACAGGGTGGTGTACTCAGGATAACCACCAGGTGGCACTGTCGGGGCACCGAGGGAGCTCTAGGGGCCTAGCCTCTCTGCAGGACCCATCTGGCCTGGGATCTGAGAGCAGGTCCTGGCCCCCACCACGGGCAAATCCAACCCTGTCCTACCTTCCCCTGTGTGCCCAAGCCCGCCTCTTTGCGGATGTGACCCTCCCAGGTCCTCAGCCTCATTGGTAATGGCTGCACTGACAACGACTAGAAGACTGGGGCAGTCCCTCCACTCTGGGAGGTGGAATGAGGTGGGAGCTCGGCTGCAGGTCTTGGAGGGAAGAGACCTGGGAAAGAGGGCACCACAACAGGCAACGGAAGTGGGATGGCATCTCTTTCTGTCCCCACTAGGACATTAAATTCTAGGTACTCACCTCACCCCCCGATCCCAGGACCTGGCACATAACCAAGTGCAGAATGACCCTCTTGAAGCTGCTTGTGGTATGGCTTAAACATCTTTCCTTAAAAAGAGAAATCTTTTGCACATGCTAGGCAAGTAAGTACTCTACCACTGAACTACATCCCATCGTTCGTTTGGCTGGTTTTGGTTTTTTGAGACAGGGTCTCACCGTGTAGTTCAGACTGGCCTTGAACTCACGATGTAGACAAGCTGGCCTGGAATTCACAGCGATCTCCCTGCCTCAGCCTCCCGAGTGCTGGGATTACAGGAGTGCCTCACCACTTCCAGTTCATCCTCAGTCCTTCGTAATCCGATCTTGAGACGGTCTCACTGAAGGTCCAGGCTGGCCTCCCGCTTTCCATCCTCCTGCCTCAGCCTCCAGTGCAGTAGGCTCACAGGCATGCACTGTCCATTCTTGAAAATATCAGTCACTATGCTGGGTGCTGGAGGTGCAGGGAAACCCTGTGACAGGAGAAATGCCAATTTCTTCCTGGGCTCAACTCTGCCGTGTGCTGCATGCTAACGGGGTGACCTTGGATGTTTTGCTCAATCTCCGCATGTCAGTTTCCTCATCTGTACAAAGAGACCGCAGCACAAATCACCCAGGAATGTAAGCATTCAACTAGATGGCATATGCAAAGTGTCTGGCACACAGAAATCTCTGAGTGGCTCTTGGTCACCCTCCCCTTTGGGGACACACACCCCTTGGAGATGTGCATGCCTTTGACGTCACTACCAAACCCACAGAAGGCATCAGACTCCCTGTCTTGGCACCACATTCTCGATCCCCACAGGGGCATTTTAGAATTAAACCCTAAAGTATATATGGGTGCACTTTCTGACCCTGTCTGTGTTCTATGCCAAGCCATCAGTTAAAGCCACAGAGCGGCTCCCAAGGTGACCCTTGCCAGGATAAATAGGCATCAGCAGCCAAAGACATGATGCCAGGGCTGCGGACAGCACGCAGGCCCCTGGCACGGAGGCCTGCCATTTGTCCCTGCTCTTGCCACCAGCGTGGAGGGCTGGATACCTTGCGCTGGCCATGCAAGGATGGGAGTGGGGCCGCCAGGTCCCCCAGGGAGGACAGGAGAGATGACCTGTGGTCTGAAGCTGGTGCTCAGTGAAGGTCTCCCAAATCCCTGGAGAGGGCGCTGCAGCCTGCGCCCTGCCGCTGCCCCCGCCCTCGTGGCCCGTAACAGTCACAGCAGCTGCCAGCAGCCTGAACTCAATCATTAGAAAAAAATTCCTCTTCAGGGATTCAAAATGTTCCCTTCAGCAGCCAAGAGGATCGCGCTCTGCCACCGCGTCTGGATGGAGGGAGGGGCGTGGCGTCGCTGCCAGCGCGTCGGACTCCTGCGTCTGCTCCCTGGCCTCTCCGGCATCTTTGTGTCAGCCCCCGACTGCTGCCCTTGTCTTCGGGGGGTGGGGGGACACTGGGGTGGGGTGGGGGTCTCCTGCCTTCAAAGACTTCAGATCCCAAAGTCAAAGGAAACCACTAGCGGGGCCAGGCCTAAGACTTCAGTCCTCCAGCCCAGCGTGCTGCCCAGCACCGAGGGCATGTGTGATAGCTTTGTTGCACATTTCAGTGGAAGAGAGGAGAAAGCTCCCCGAATTTTCAAGGATATTCAGACACCCCGCAGCCATGCGGAGGTTATTTGCACCCTGGAAATGGATGACAGAAACCTGTTTGCTGTTGTAGAATCTCATCTGTCCAGGCTGCCTGAAAACCAAGGTTGAATATGGTGGTGCTGGATCATTAGGGTTCTGAGGCCGCACCTGTGTGTTCTCCTGACTCACGACTGAGCCATTTGTGTGAGGCCCGAACTATCCAGGCACCGACTCAGGTGTGCTCCCGGTGTGCTCAGGAAGCCCCCCCCCCCGTGCCCAGTGACACGTTACAGGTGGAAAGAGGCCCTGGTAGAGATGTTCCCAGTGCAGAAACTGGTAAACATGAGGCATCAGGGTATCCGCCCACCAAGAGAAGTTGTGAGACACCAGCACCCTGCGGAACGGGGCTTTTTAGGCAGATGTCCAGCTGAACTTGACCTGGAAAACCTTGCCCATAACCTCTGCTGCGAGAATCAGGGCCTCCCCAAAACAAAGCCAGAGGTAGAAGTGCTCCCTGGAAGGGTGGGGGAGGACTGTGCAGACACCCAAGCCGGGGTCTGGGCTTCAGAGGGCCCATGGGCATGTGCCAGGGCCAGCAGGGTCCAGCTGTGCTGGGCAGCTTTGAGGAAATAAGAGGCAGGGACGCGTGCGCTCCAGGCAGCAGCCTGCTAGGGCTGTGGTCAGTCTCCCCTGCCCGTCCCCCAGCTCCCGGCCGGATGTCGCCGCTGCTCACCCAGCGCTTCTTCTCCCCCTGCCAGACCCAGAGTCCCAGAGAAAGAGGACGGTGCAGAACGTCCTGGACCTGCGACAGAACCTGGAAGAGACCATGTCCAGCCTGAGAGGCTCCCAGGTGACTCACAGGTAAGCTGGAGCCACAGAGGAGCCACAGCCTCCACTGTCATTCTGGGTCTGGGCGGCAGAGTCCCGCACACCGCCACCGGGGCTTCTGGGTTTGCTCGTGCAGCCAGTGCTGTCAGATCAATCTCAGCGTCATAGCAGAACCCCCATGTGTGTCCTCATCTCTCTGAAGGGGCTTTGTTTACTGGCTGCTCCTCTGGCCCCCAGGTCCCCTCTGTCAGTCAGGTGCCCTCTGGCCTCTTCCACCACCACTGAGGGAGGCCTGATTGCTCAGCAGGGCCCACGCAATGCCACCCACAGTGTCCGGCCCCCTGCCCAGCCCTGGAAGATACTTCTGAGCCTCCACTGCGGGGGCAAGCGCCCTCCCACAGCAGCTGTCCCTGGAGCAGGGTCCTGGCCGTGGCCTCTTCGTGACTCAGAGTTTCCCCTCCGGCTCCTTCCTCCCCGCTGCCCAGATGAGCTCATGCTGTCAGCTCCAAAGGGGCAGAGGGAGGGAGAGCAGGCGGCCAGGACTGGGAAGTCACAGGGGTCGGCAGGGAGGCTGTGTGAGGCGTCGGGAGCCTCCCGTCTCCTGGAACTGGGAAATGATAAGCCACGCTGGGACACAGGGTCAGTGGGAAAGGGCTTTGCGGCCCACATCTCACGGACACGCTTACACGCTCTCAGTGACAGAGAGCTCCTTCTCTTTGGTGCAGCCCAGTCCGTGGCGATCGCGTGGAGCCCAGCTTCGTGGCCAGGGGGTTTCATCCACAGCCACTGGCCTGCTTCTTCCTCCCTGAGACCTTCTCCTTCGTTCCGCCTCCCACACCCATCTCCACCCATTTTCCCATCTTGGACACCAGCCCTTTACCCCTGACATCTAGAACCCTTTAACTGGTACAATGAATCAAAGCATCCACTCTCTGGGGTCCCTTGGCCCAGTCAGCAGGTTGCTGACTGCCTATAGGAAGGCGTTTCCTGGGTCTGGGGGGAAGTGGACCCAGACGCCCCTACATCTGTCTCCTGTCTCTCCCCCAGCTCTGGGCAGGAACCCAAGGGGGCTGGAGGGCTGGCGCAACCGGCCTCCCCAGTTTAGCCCCCCCAGTGGGTGAAATGTCACACATCATTCAGGGAAGTTGCTGGAACATCTCTCAGTGCCAAGTCACCCATCAGCCTTGTGCCAAAGAAAGCAGAAAGTGCTTAGTTGCTGAGAGGGTCACACCCCAGATGACTCACCACGGCAGGGTCAGGACTGGAGGCTGCCGCTGCAGCCTCCTGGGCCCCGACTCCAGCTCCTGCTCCCTGTGGAGCAGGGCAGGGTGGCTTCTGCTTGGGTGGGGAGGGTAGGCTGAAAGCCTTTGTGGAAAGCTGCCTGGTTTGGAGGGTGGAAGGCTGTGAGCCCTGGCTCCTGTCTCCCTTTGGGGAGAAGAGCCACCAGCCCTGAGGCTGGACTTTCTGTTTACCGCAGGGCTGGAGCTTCTTCCTCTTAGCCTCTGGTTTCTGTTACTCTCGGTTCACTCTCGGGTAGCCCAAAACCCGTCCCTGACTTGGCTGTCTTACTGTTTTAAAGTGCTGTGCATCAGTCAGCCCTTTCCTGCCCTGGGGAAGGCAGGATGTATTCATATTCCCTGGGCTAAAGCAGGAGCAACTGAGGCTGGGAGAGGGAGGCCCCTGATAAGGGCAGTTAAGTGCCCGAGTGGCGCTGGGCACCGGCCCTCAGAGCGAATGCAGACTTCATCCCCGAGGGGCCCTCAGTCCAGTGGGTGCTTTGGGTGAGGCTGCTTTTGCCCTGGAACTCACAGGGTAACTCTAGACTCAGTTCCGTTCCAGAAGCCTCTGTTCCTCTGCTACTTCCTGTTTCTACTGGCTCATTTCCCCCGGCGAGAAGAGAGTCTGGACTGTGGCTGTGTCCTGAGAGGAAATGAAACTGTCCTCACTGGAGAGGCAAGCCTGGGCCTGGTGAGAGGCCCAGTCAGAGTGAGAGACAGGGTGTGAACTGGAATCCTCACTGCCAGTTTAGGTCTAGAGAGGTGGAGAGATGGTTAGGGTATAAAACAGAGTCTTGAAATACAGAAAGAGGCATCTTCCATGCAGAGCTAAACTGGGCAGGCCGGGAAGAGAACTGAGGAACCGGATGTCCGGGAGGCCCTCACCTCTGCACACTCTCAATCACCTCAGTGAGGCTGACTGCCAAAGCCTGCTCCCCTGAAGCCCCACCGTCATCTTCCATCTCCTCATCTGGTGGGCAGTCAGCTTGTTTTTATCGAGCACTGAACTGCATGAGGCCCTGGCCTTGGCCTTGGGATGAGTCGGTCCCAGGTCTTCCCTCAGCACACTCACAGGGTTCTGCTCCTGGTTGGCTCGTTACTGGGCACCAGCTGCACACCAGGCCCGAGCCGAAACGGAGGGGACAAGGCAGAGCCAGACTTCCTCCAGCGGCTCTGCCTTCAAGGAGCTTCCATACTGTCCCAGGACGTGAGGTATCCAGGTCCCCCGGAGTTAGATGCTGAGGCAAGACGGTGTGTGAGGCAGAACACAGAACACAGACAGCCTAAACGGCTGCTGGGCCTGAGGGGAGAAGCTGCGTGTAGGCAGCCAGGAACCCTCAGGACAACGGCCAGGACCCCATGGTGCCGGTTTGCAGGACCGTGAGCCATGATCCAGTGTGTGAAGGGAAGGATAAAACCCTGTTTTCTCAGGTCTAACAGAGACAATTTTGGAGGATTCTTTTTATCAAAGAACTTTATAAAAACAAGAATAGAAAAATCAATGCCCCCCTGCCATCCCAACCCTGAGAGCGGCTCTGTAAAGGATGTGTTCACTGCTTCTCCTTTGTTCTGTGCACCTCAGGTCCCGCCTCGGGCAGCCTCAGCAGCCCGCAGACCCCCTTTCAAGTACACAGTCCGGCTGGGCTCTTATCAGGCCAAGGGATGAGACCCTACCTAAGGCTGACCAGGTTCAGCTGGGTGGACTTAGCAATCCCAAGCCTGGGCCACCCCTCCAACCAGATGTCTGCCGTATTTCCTCCGCAGCCACCCTGGCCTGTGAGAAGAAAGCCTCCCCTTCTGACAGCTCCCTGAAGCCCCCTGGCTCTACCCTGAGTGTCACTTTCTTGGCCTTGCCTGGCCTGGCAGGGCTGGAGGCTTGGTATCCTGCTTGGCCTCCTCTTCTCTGTCTAGCGAAGGCCACTTCCCTTCCCTGGGGAGGCCCCTGGCTGCTGACTGTGACCGGTCTTCCTGGGGGCCTGCTGCACATCTCAGCTTCCTACACCCTCTGCGCACCACCCCAAGCCTTCCTAGATCTGACATCTAGGAATCAGCTGGCCCTCAGCTCACTGATAGAAAAGAGTGACCGAGCGGAGTGGCCTTCTGAGTCGGGGAGCAGCTCCAGTCTCAGTGTGTGAGAGCCGTCTGTGTATCAGGCACTGCGTCGGATCCGTACACCTGTGATACTCTCAGCTCTACAGAGTGGCTGTTACGCTGTTATCCCATCTCACAGATGAGGACACGGGCTTAGTGTGGTTCATTACTTTCCTTGAGTGCATTTACTAATAAATGGCAAGAAAGGGATTCAAACCCAGGTCAGTGACACAGCACAGGCCCTTAGGAGTATGGCCGACTGCTTCCCAGCCACTTACAATCATTTTCTCTTGACAGCCTGGGGTACCCGTCTGTAACAGGGGTGACCTACAATTAGAGACCTCCTGAGGCGGTGGGTGGGGAGGCCTGCACAGGAAGCCATTGCTGGGTGCGGGAAAGGACCGGGCTGGCAGCGGCCGTGCTGGGGACTGACTGTGCCCTCTGCTCCCGGTCCAGCTCCCTGGAGATGACCTGCTATGACAGTGACGACGCCAACCCCCGCAGCGTGTCCAGCCTCTCCAACCGCTCATCCCCCCTCTCTTGGCGCTATGGCCAGTCCAGTCCGAGGCTGCAGGCCGGGGACGCGCCCCCGGGGGGGGGGGGCCGCCCTTTTTTGGAGATGACCTGCTATGACAGTGACGACGCCAACCCCCGCAGCGTGTCCAGCCTCTCCAACCGCTCATCCCCCCTCTCTTGGCGCTATGGCCAGTCCAGTCCGAGGCTGCAGGCCGGTGACGCGCCCTCGGTGGGCGGGAGCTGCCGCTCCGAGGGGCCGCCCGCCTGGTACATGCACGGGGAGCGCACCCACTACTCCCACACCATGCCCATGCGCAGCCCCAGCAAGCTCAGCCACATCTCCCGCCTGGAGCTGGTCGAGTCCCTGGATTCAGATGAGGTGGACCTCAAGTCCGGCTACATGAGCGACAGTGACCTCATGGGCAAAACCATGACGGAAGATGATGACATCACTACCGGGTAAGCGCGGGGGGGGGGCGGTTCCTGGGATGGCTGCTGCTGGGACAGTGGGATGGGATGCCTTAAAAGTGGACCGAAGACCTGGGATTTAGCGTAGTGGTTCCACCGCCTGCTTCGTAAGCTCAAGGTCCTGAGTTCGATCCCAGGCATCCAGAAAATTAAAAAAAGTAGAGTGAAACCCGAAACAGAGTTTGCCTTGCCATGACACGAGGGATCTATGTAGAGCATTTGTGTATGCTGTGGCTGCTTCTGCTGTCTGATGCGATTTCTTCTAGACCTGCGTGGAGTGGGTGGGGCCTATAACCCACCCATTGAGAGCTGATTGGTCCTGGTGGCTGTCATTCTGTGGTAGGCTCTATCTTCTTCCCTGGTCCTGCGCCCCCCAAAAGTGGCCCAACAGCCCTGGAGAAGGATTTTAGTCCCAGCTCTTCTACAAACTCAGTATAGACATGGGCATCCTAATCTGCCATTTGCCAAAGAGGCTGTAATATGCACATCCGTCTACCTGCTGAGAAGAAAAAAATGAGCATGTGGGAGAGAGAAGGGAAATAGAAAGTGATGATGGCCCCAGCCCCCGACCCCCACCTTATTCTGTGAGCGTAGTCTCCACTCCTTGGGTTTTTGCCTCTGCAACCCTTCTCCCTATAATGCCACTTCTGAATCCCCACAGAGTCTGTTGGGCCTTTCTTTCCTCCCCTTTGTCTGGCAAGGACCCTCATCTTTTTTCTCTTTTCCTGCCTTGCGTGCTGGGGTTGGGCCTGTGGACAAAATTTGGACGGAGTCCCAGACTGGGAAGTGAGGGGAGAGGCTAGGAAGAGCGACATGCCGAGGGTTTCTAGGGTCCTGGCTATCTGTTCTAAGCCCTGAGACAGGAGAGCAGCAGTGTTTCTGGAAGCCTCTCTGGGGCATTTCTCCGCTGACTACCACTTCCGTTCTTGCCCCCACTTAGGGCCCCCTTCCCCTGCTTCTCAGGAACTGTTTCTCCCCAGTAAAAATCTCAGCCTTCAAGGGCATGGAAAGCCACCTGTGGAGAAGACAGCAAGCCGAGCTCTAGGCCGTCCACTGTTGCCTGCCACAGCCCCACCCAAGGGATAAACTCAGCAGGATCCAGTAAGGGCCTGTCCAGCTGATGAGGCTGCTCTGGAGCAAAACAGCTGACGCATGAATGGGGTTGTTTACTGCCTGTTAAATCCCAGGGGCCGACCAACCTCACGCTCAGTTCTATCCTCTAGCCACGAGCTGAGACCAGAAAGAAATCATGGCCTGGTGCATAGACCCAGAGCTGCTGCCATGTCAGAGCCAGTGCTGGGCAGGAAGGAAAGCTGGGGGGGTGGGTTTGCCAGAGCTGCTCCACACAGTCTCTGCCTAGGACAGCTGTGAGGAAGTTCAAGGCCTCTGTCCCCTGAGTGTCCCAAATGCGGAGGGCCTGTGGGGCCAAAGGATTGGAAATTCTCCACGTATTGAAAGGATGATGACCCCAGCCCTTGGGGGCTCCCTGACTGGTGGGGATGAGAGCCCTCTAAGAGCCCCTTCCAGGCTGGGAATTTAGCTCAGTGGCGTTGCTGCCTGCCTCAAAAGCACAAGGTCCTGAGTTTGATCCCCAGTACTGCAAAAACAAAGAAGTATCAAAGAGCCCCTTCCCTATAGCTCCCCCAATGTCCCTGGCAGAAAACTAACCAAGTGCAGGAAGCACAGAACCCAGGCTGTGCAGAGCCCCCTCCCGGTCCCCAAAATGTGAGGAAGGTGGCAAGGCTTCTGGGACTTCACTAGCTGTGAGCTTGTGCAAGTTAGGTAGCCTCTCTAGGCTTTAACGTCCCTATCTGCTAAATACAGATAATACTAGGACCAACATCGGGACCATGGTGAGGATTTAAATGGTTAATATATGTCAAGTGCTTGGAATAATTCCATTGTAATTGCTCTCCCGGTGCAGCTTATTACTGTGGCTGCGGTTAGAGTGCCAGGCGGATGGAGAAGACACAGCCCTGCCCTCAGGCAGTGTGTAGTCTGATCAGAGGGCCTCGCTCAGAATCAGCAGCAAGTTTTCTCTAGCCTCTTTCCTCTAAACAGTGTGTGTGCTCCTGAATCCATTTAAAAAAAAAAAATCAGTTCCTGGGATTGATATAAAAAAGAACATGCCTTGCTTGCACACTCAGGTGGAAACTCAGGGAAGCCAGAAGTTTGTGCGAGAATGTAGAATAAATTGTTGACTTTGCTGGACTGTAGTGTCTCACACCTCTAATCCCAGCTCTTTGGGAGGCTGAGGCAGGAGGATCACTGTGAGTCCAAGGCCAGCCTGAACCCTGTCGTGAGACCTCGTCTCAAAACAGCAACAGATTGTTGGCATGGCAATAGCCACAAAGCAGGCCATACTGTAAACTGCAGTGCTAGTTGCAAAATAATTTCACCTTCACTTTTAATGGTCAATCTTCAATTAGCAGCAACTCTTAGCCCGAGTTTTAAGGTTTTTCTGTCATTAAATTCCCTGCCAGGACTGTAAAAACAGCCGTCCTTAAGCATGCTCGACTGTGAAGGTTGAGGGGAGACAATTTATAGAGCCCACTAATTTTAATGTAAACAGTCCCTACTCAGTTGTGTTTCCATGGTTACACACAGTCTTCTTGGAGTCTGTCACAGGACACCCTCAATCCCCACCAAGTCTTCAGTGGCCATGTAAGCCCAAGCTGTTCTCCTCTGGGTCCTCTCATCTCTCCTGTGGTTTTCGTCCATATTTTGTCGTGAAGAAAATGTCCTATTCCTGAGAAAATGGTTTCTTCTTGGTCGTAAAATTCGTTGGGCTGTTCCCGTGGGGCAGCCTTGAGAGCCCACCCGGCTCTCACAGGAGACGCCCCCACCCTCAGCCCGGCCCTGTGCAAGTTTCTTCCTCCCAGCGCTCCCAGGTCTGGGCCACTCTGGGCTGGTTGCGTCGGTGGTGATTCTGAGCAGCTCAGGGCCCTGTTTTATCTGCTGGGGCCTTGCCCTGCCGGGTGGGGTTTGCACAGAGTTGGGCTTCGGCGGCTCTCCCCTCCCCCGCGCCATCAAATCCCCGGCCGCTCCCTGCTTTGCCACTCAGCAGCCAGAATCCGAAGTGAACTCTTCAAAGCAGTCAGCAAACTAGGATGAAGAAGCAACTGGGATGCTACCACCCAGTCGTGCGCTTTTAAAAATTAATTTTTTACATTGAAATTAATTTTCAAAAATGATGGTAAAGTACTCATTTAGTGTTGTAGGCTAAGCGTTTTAAAGTGTGCGGCTCAGTGACATTGCGTTTATTCACGTTGTTGTGCGGCCACTGCCCCGTGCATCTGCAGGAAATTCCCACCTCCCCAAACTGAGACTCCCCTTCCCCTCCCTCCTGCCCCTGCTCCGTGTCTCCTTGAGTTTGACTACTCCGGGTGACTCATGAAAGTGCAGTTATGCTTTTTGTCCTGCGTCTGGCTTATTTCACCTCACGAAATGTCACCGAAGTTCCTCCGTCCGTAGCAGTTGACGGGACCCCCCTGAAGGCCGAATACTATCCCCTCCTAGATTGTACACCGTACTTGGTTTATCCACTTCCTTATTGGTTGGTTCAGTCTGCCTCTGGGCCGCTGTGAATAATGTTGCCATGAACGAGTACATCCTTGCTTTCACTTCTTTTGGACATTTTCCCGGAAGTGGAGTTGTCGGGTCACATGGTAATTCTGTGTATGGTTTTGGAGGAACCAACATACTGTTTTCCATAGAGTCTGTTTCATTTTGCGTTCCCACCAGTCCAAGTGTTTTGTTTTGTTTTGAGACAGGGTCTCACTATGTTGTTGAGACTGACCTAGAACTCACTATGCAGCCCAGGCTGGTTTTGAACTCACAGCAATCCTCCTGCCTCAGCCTCCCAAGTGCTGGGATTACAGGCATGTGCCACCACGCCCGGCCAGTCCAAGTGTTTTGTTTTGTTTTGAGACAGGGTCTCACTATGTTGTTGAGACTGACCTAGAACTCACTATGCAGCCCAGGCTGGTTTTGAACTCACAGCAATCCTCCTGCCTCAGCCTCCCAAGTGCTGGGATTACAGGCATGTGCCACCACGCCCGGCCAGTCCAAGTGTTGTACACCCATGCTGTTTATTAATTTTTGACAGGTGGGGTGTGCTTAGAGATTTTTTATTTTGGTTTTGTTTTTGTGGGGTTTTTTTTCCAGTAGTGGGGATTGACTCCAGGGTATTCTACTACTGCACCCCCAAATCTTTTTTTAAGACAGGATCTTGTTAAGACCCTGGGTTGGACCCTGGTTGGAAATCAGGTTGAATTTGAACTTGGAATTCTCCTGCCCCAGGCTCCCAAATAGCTGGGATCATAGGCATGCACCACCACACTCGGCTTGGTTTTCTATTTATTTATTTATTTTAGCCATCTTAATTGTGTTAACTTTCCATTACTGTAACAAAATACCTGAGAGAATAAGGTTAAAAAGAGGAAGGGTTTATTTAGGACCACAGTTTTGGAGGTTGCTTTTGGGCCTGTGGTAAGGTGCACATCAGGCAAGAGTGCTGGCTAAAACTGTTCATCCTTTGGCTGGAGAGTGAAGAAAGACCAAGGTCCCCTTCAGGAGCTGCCCCCAATTACTTGAGACCTCCCACTGGGCCACCTGCTCCAGGCACCACTGCCCACAGTAGGACCACAGGCTAAGGACCAAGCCAACATATGGGGCCTTATTATACATATTTATGGGATACATTGTGACACTGCAGTGCATGTATGGAATGTAGAGATAAGATCAGGTAA